GACATTCCAGCAGGGGTTTTTGGCACTTTTATCTCATAGATTTCATAGACATTAGGGCTGTAAGGGACCTCGAAGATCATCAAGCCCAGTCCCCTGCCCCAGGGGCAGGAAGTCAGCTAGGGTCAAAGGACCCCAGCAAGATAAGCATCTAAGCACTTCTTGAATAAGTCCAGAGTAGGTGCCTGCACCACTTTTGGAGGGAGTCTATTCCAGGTCTTGAGGGCTCGGACAGTAAAGAAATGTTTTCTTATGTCCAGCCTAAAACAGTCTTGTAGGAGTTTATGACCGTTGGTCCTTGTTTTTCCTTGGGGTGCTCTGGTGAACAGACGGTCTCCCAGATTCAATTAGCTATTAGATAACAGCCTCACTAAAGCACCAGCTCTTTACAGATGTTGAGCAAGCCAGGTCTAACTGAGGTACTGCCTCTTTTGGGCATGTGCTGGGCTCGGCACAGGAGCATGCCCAATTTAAAGTAAAGCACCATTTTTTTTTCGTGTGTGCAGGCAGCCCTAGAAAATTAGTACAATAAGTGGCATGGAGTCTTGAGGGACTTCTCTGAATGATAAAGTAATAAAACACAGTTTTGTATTGCGTTATTATAACCCTGAAGCAGGTGTAGAGGTCAGGTAGTTCAAAATCTGTTAATATTTACTACTCTCCATCTTCAATTCCTCCATTATTCAGCAAAATGGAAAAGCTAATATCCACATTTGAAAACAAAAGATCCATATTTAATAAGCTAGTCCAAAGTGAAATTTACTAGGTTATTAAAATACACTTACAGGATAGCTACAGGCATAAGCCAATGCTGACCTGTAGTAATGGTGCTATAAATGTTTTGTATCTTAGCACTATATTACCAGCAATTAATTTAATTCATGTTGCAGGTTAAGGTGAGAGAAAGAGCTAAAGTTAAGTTAACATAAATTATCAACAAAGTCAGTGATACAGATTTAGGCCATTTGAATATTTAGCTGTGAATGTTTTGTTTGGATTTAGGAAAATAAGTGGTCTGGGTATGCACTGGATGTATGTCTATCTATCTCAGTTCTTTTGAACTTGAACATATATAGAGTTATATAGTATAGTGCTCTTCCATTTTTAAAGGATTACTATTCTTTTTTAGGTACATTCTAAAGCAAATAACTGATATTTCTAATAACCACCAAATGCATATATTTTGGGAAATGGACATTTCATAAATATTTATATAAAATGCTTCATTTTCCAGAAAGAAAGTAATAGCCTTTTATTTCTAGGCAACCTAGAATTACACTTTATCATCTGGAATTCTGTGCTTTATAGGCACAATATAGAATGCATAAAGATTATGTTAATTCTTCCTATATAAAAGGTAGTGCAGCCAGTTTGTTGAATGACATTTTACACTTATGCCTTCTTTCAGCCACTAATATTTTATGAATGAAGCAGGGTTCAAGTTACAACAGTGTTGCTCCACTTGTACTGATACTGAATCACACAAATGTAACAGTTATGTCAGAACAGCTGTATACCACTATCATTTAATGTCTACACTAATTGTAATCATTCCCAATATGATTACCCTGTATGACAAATGAAGACTAATTTTAATGAAGGTAGAGTTCACCCTTCTTAATACATGTACTCTATCCTCCTCACACCTCCCTGTTGCTTTAGGCCAGTGGGTCATAATTTTTTTAGGATGCTTGTGCCAAGGCACTCTCCATAACTTTTGTGAATTGAGTAGCAACCCATTTAAAAAAACTAATTTATGTATTAGTGCTTATTTCCTTGCAGAGAGGGTAGGGGAGCACCTAGGCAGGGAGACGCTGAGCCTGCCCTTTTCTGCTTATCTCCCTGCACCCTGCTTATCTCCTCACACTTCCTGCATCCCTCTTCAGAAGATCTCCCCACATTGCAGGGTTTCCTAGCACACTGATTGAGAATCACTCCTTTAGGCATTTCCATTTGTATTCCTCAGAAAGTGGCCAGAGCTCAGGAGCTTCATCCCTTTTTTTAATCCTTTCCACACTACAGAAACCAATTCTTGGCTGTCACTAAAACAGACACCTTTCACCAACACAATTATTTCCCCCTTTACAGCCTTCAGAGACTCTTCTGTTATATTCTTTGCCTTTCTATCTACTTTCCTTCTCTTCCTCCTCCTCCTCCTCTTTCAGGTTTTTATTTTTGGCCATCTCATCTATACTCTGAAACCGGTTTCTAAATGTTCTGTCACTAATTCACTTAAGCTAAACATAGCTAACCTAATTTCACTTATCAGTGAAAATACCATCCTGATTGCTGTTGCGCAACATCAAAATCTTAGTTTAATTTTTTTAAGAGGACAATACATGTTATATTATGCTGCTACTTCTATCCACTTTTTCCTTAATAACTTCATAAACCATCTATCATTTCACTCAGTGCCTGGAAAACAAACTAGACATCTAGGCTCCGGGCATCTAAAGTACTTCAACGTTCTCCTCCTTGACTGTGACTACTGCTCCAACTGTGTTCAGCCCCTCTTTACACCCTTTTTCTGATTTCTCCCCCCCTTCATCTTTCAGAATCTTTCCCATTCAAATCATAGTGCTATTCATCGGTTACCTTGAGCACACTACCTCTATGTCACATGCCCTTCCTCGATGAAGTCTACGTTACTTATATTGTCACGTTCAGCCCCATGCAGGTGTGCGGGTGTAATTTCCCCTAGCACATAGCCAGGACTCACCCTCAACTCCCTGTATGGCCCCATGCTACCTTGCCCTGCCATGCATGAGGGCACAAAGTAGCAGCTGGGGGAGGGATTGAGAGCCCAGAGTGTCAGAAGCAGGTTAAAAACAGTGCCTAGGCTTTTGTAGAATGAGGCTGTAGAATGCAAGGTCCTTATCCACATGGACACTTAAATAACTTTAACCAACATTAAAAATAACCAAGTTTTAACAAAACATAGACAGGGGCTTTGATGCCGGTATTTAACCAGTCCAACTTAGCTGGATCCCAGGGACAGGTTTGGTAGGACAAAGGTGAGCACTTTTGCCACAAAAACCTATGAGAAAGGAATGCAGTTGATTCAGCAGGTAGAAAAGAAGTCCACAGACTCGATCCTCAGCTGGAATAAATCATTACAGAATTGCAGCCAATATTACTATGCTGAGCTACACCCACAGAGGATGTGACCCTATATTCAGGCAGAACTCCCTTTGCTAGTTCCCTCTAAAAACCAGAGACCAGGTTTCCGGGCATTCAGATCCCACAACTTCACCCTAAATTCAAGTCAGCTTTGGACAGCAACTCTTTTTTTTATCTTCATCTTCAAACTGTGAAGTTTTGAGCAGAACATGGTGATTTTTTTCTCCAAAGGAAGTGACCTTGAGATAGTCATTAAAGATTCAGATCATCCTCCCTCTGGCAAATACCTGGCCCAAAAAGCTGCTTCCTCCCTATCTAGGAATTAGGCTTTCTAAAGTCTTAAGAGGCACAGTAATGCCCACTGAGGCACAGTTATAGACCTGCTGAGACTTCTTGCTTTGAAACTGGCTGCATTGTCCTGTCATTTTGAGTTCCCATAGAAATAAATGACTACTTATTCTTTTCATGAAGAAAGTTTATTGCAGGTCTTTACAATTCTAGTAGAAAGTAAAGCTAACAAAGAAAATGAGCTAGGATCAAGTCTTAAGAATGAGCAGAGGGAATGAATAAGCAGAGTGCATACAATACTGAATCAAGTAGTATGATAAAGACAAAACTTTATTCATCCTTGACTGCAAATAAATGACCAATGCTGCTCAATTACTGTTTCCATATACTGCACCAGGAGGGGAATAGTGGTGATAAAAACGTGGCAGCTAGTTTTGTTGGCTAGTTGTTACAGTTCTTCTATTAGTCAGCTTGCCCTAGAACTAGGAACTGCTCCATCCTAGGTTATGTAACATGCAGCAAGCTTTCCATTCAAAGGACCAAGTAGTTTTATTATTTAATAGATACTGTGGTTGTGGTGGGAGATGCAGATGGATGGAGAAGGAAAACACTTGTAACAATGGCTAGAATTAAAAGGCTTCCTTGACTGCAGTCTTCATACAAATAAATGCCCAGTGTTCTTGTTATCTTTACACCCGAAATTCCTTTAGGTTCATATTAGCTAAACAACTATCCTGAAGTACGCACTTTTGATGATAAACTTGAAGACAAAAGAGCCACTCTCTCTCAAAAACTTATTGTTCAATATTGTACAGTTTGTCCGCTAAAAAGATTCTTCATGGAAACTTGCCCCTTCAGCTCTGGTAAGAAACTCAGCTAAACAGAGGCACTGGGAACAGGAGGCAGATCCAGCTTTTTTTCTCTCCTCACTTTTCTGAGAACAAGATCTTCTGACCCAGAGAGTCTGTTTGCAGAAGTGAGACCTGGTTGCTGTTTCTCCATCTCAAATTCTTACAAAAATATCATTAACTACACAGTAAATTAATCTATTTAGATTACTAGATGGTGAGAAATGCATTGAATTAAACCAGCACTCATGTTTGAAAAAAATCTAAAGTCACCCAAAGTTTTTCCCCCCATCTTTATGTTCAGAAGGCAAAGGTCAGGGAGCACTCAAGAACTACGGAGTACACATCCCCCAACCCATCCTCCAAAATTCATGATGGAATCTGCCTTAGGCTTGCCACAAGAGGGTGCAAGCAAACTGAAAACAAAACAGATGAGATGAGATAAGACAGAGAGAAGTTGAAAAGTTCTCCTGACCTAGCAGGGAGCTTCAGCTGGATTTGGTTTCAATCAATCCTACAGACTGGGCTGTTCCTCAGCACAGTCATGACATGCCAAGGCAGGGTGCATGGGGGATTTGATTGGCTCAGCAGCAGCAGAGGGGAGGGGCTTAGACCCAGCCACGTGAGCATCTTCAGCTGCAGCGGTAATCACAGAAGGTTTCTCCATTCCAGCTCTACCAGAGTCCTGACAACGCTTGCTGCAGAAAATCTGACCCTCTTTATCTAGAGCTGTGTTCTAGAAAAAGGAAGGTGGAGGACAAAAAGCATTAAACCAACAATCCACATTACCCTCGCCATTAAAACAATGCACAACACATTCATTTGGTGCATGCATTAGTCCCAGAAAAAGGAGAAATAACATCAGACATCTTTGCTCATTTTAGCAGTCTTTTGCATGGATTTGGAGGAGCTGAAGGATAATTTACCTCTTGGGATACCACAGCATCCAGGAGGTAAGTGAAACAAGGCCTGTATAAAAAGCATGTGATGCTCCACAGTACTAGACCCAACTCTGATGAGGTATTTCAAGACAAAGTTGGTATTTTGTATTGCAAGGCTGATGTGGAAAAAGCAGGTGTGCATGGACACAGCATCATAATGCAGAGTATTACTTTGGGATTCATTTGCCCAAACTTTATATTGTTGGGTGCTGCCTGTATTCTAACATGGGACCAAACTCTTTGTTTAGCCTGTAATGGACCTCAGGCTGCAGAAATGTGTATTTGTAAAAAGCATGTATGAAGGCCTAGGGAATTTTTGTTTCTTCATTTCAACTAGAACACTTTTTCTCCTCTTACATTTATTAGGAGATAGGGTGCAACTACAAAGCTAAGTTTTAATGGAAATTTGTGCTAGGTTCCTGAATAATAGACTTGAATGTAGGTCATAAGCACTCACTATATAGAATCTGAAGAGTGGGATGGTTGGGAGAGGGAATTAAGGCCTCTGTAGGGGAATCCTGAGGTATTCTCCATCCCTGCTTTTTTTTTCTAAAGCAGATCTTGCTGAATGGCTGCTGAAGCAGCAACTTTCTGACCCTGTGCAGGCTGCTGCAAAAGTAAATCAAACTGGAGTGCAATGTTTAGTTTACAGTAGGAGGTTCTGATATACCTGTAAGTCAACAGGAGAGCAAGCTAGTGTTTGTGTGTCCAAATACATTCTCAAATAGTTTTTCATGTGTGATCTGGACAGGCTCATGGCTAGACAGCTAGTGTACACTGTTTTTAAATAATGCCCCTGGTGTTTAGGATGCTTGTCTCAGATGTGAAGGGCCCAGATTCAAACTCTTCCTCTGCCTGAATCAGAGACAGGATGTGAATCAAGATTTCCCACCTCTCAGGAGAGTGTCTGAACCATTGAGCTACATGTAGTCACCCTACCCTGTCTTGCTGAATTTATTCTGTTCCCAGCAGTTAGTCGTTCCCTCTCTCATTCAACGAATATTTATTGGGCAGGGGTCCTCTTAGCAGATGGGCCAGTCTAATACTATTCCTTTTCCCAAAGAATATTTAGATGTTTTATACAAAGTGGAACAATCACCAGGACAGACTGATGATGGGCCATCATGAATGTCCTGTGGTCAAGGGGTTTAGGCACCTTCTTGGTAGGGAAGAGATCTTAGTTCAAGCCCCTGCTCAGGCAAGTGTCCTATGTACTGGGCCACACACATCCTTATAAGATGGTAGGGGTCACAGGAGAATCACTTCCTTGCTGGTTTTGTGAATTAGCAAACATTTCATTCAACCCAAAATACAATGAAAAATGCCCCAAAACAGGTTTGTTTCATTCAGTCTGAAACAAAGTTCTTAGGTTTGTAGCCAACCTGCACCACAGCTTTATTTTTCTTTTTGCTTCAGCTAACAAATATTTGAAGAGCTTTACTGTTTAGCAGTACCTCATGACTTGGCCCTCCTATCTTTGTGAATCTCCGTTGCTCTTGTGGCAGCGTGCATATGTAGGGCGGGGAGTAAGCACCCTTGCTGGGGCAAGGATAGAGTGAAAAAGTTGCCCTGCAACCGCCTCTTACACTCCATTCTTTCCTGCCACCTTCCCTCAGAAATGGAGAGAGGAAGCAAGTGTTTTCCTACAGTCAGCAACAGGACACCCTGAGATCATCAGTGTATGGGAGAAGGCAGGAATATACCTTCAGAGTACCCAAGACGGGATGGTGGTTGTTAACCTCTGTCCCCCATACAAGTTACCAGAGGGGTAGCGTACCGACCTATTCTGTCTCGCAAAAGAGGTCCCACAAGGAGGAGGTCTGTTGTCAGACTGCACAGCAGACAGGGATTGGCAAGGGCTGAAGGTCACAGGGGCTAGTGGGAACACTGAGAAATTTGGGTAAGTATCTTAACTTCTGGATGTTCAGATTTAGTAAGTACTAAGTAGGTAGAAGAGGAACCGATCCCCATCCTGAACAGTTTACCTTCTAATTCAGTTGCAAATATACATAAGCAGCACCATGCTGGGTCAGAACTCAGTCAGTACACATTTTCCTTCCTTACCGTATCTGTTAGGAATGGGGAAACTAAAATAAAATTAAAACTTAGTTTTAATAGGATGTGCTTCATTGGCTGAAGAAATGGTTCATCTAGCTCAGTGTCCTGTCTCTGACAGTAACAGCTTTACAGGAAGAGCATTAAACTAGGTATATCTAGAGCAGTGATTCTCAACTAGGGTGAAAGCCTTTCAAGGGTGCTACAGGGTGCCTTATAGTGTTAGCAGATCTGCTCTAGGAGATGCGTGTAGGTGGGTCCTTTAATTAGCGAGCACTTTTAATTAAAAGTGCCCAAGCACCACATGCATCAGTGTCCCCCCCCCTGCTGAAAATGGTGGCGGAGCGCTTTGAACTAAAGCTTGTCGCACATGCTTTAGTTCAAAGTACCCCAACACCATTTTTCAGTGCAGGGATGCTAATACATGTGACACAAGAGTCTGTTGGAGCACGCTTATTTTCTTATAATCTGGAGCACAGATTAATCGAGTCTGCTCCAACACAGTGGATTTCCAGTGCATCAGAGCCAGCTCCCTGCATGTGCATTGGATGCCCAGAGATTTCAAATAGGACTCTACAGAGTTAAAAATATTCTGATCTGCTGTGGTCTTTCTGAGTTGTTTGCAACAGAAGAATTGCTCTATTATATTTTTGTAGTCAAAAAACAAGTGAAAATGAAGAAATGGCATTTTCTGAGAAGGGGTGCCTTGAGCCCCAAAAGACTGAGATCTATCCCCTGCTCATTACCCTTCCTGGCATTCACCACCATTGGTTTAGAGATGCCAGAGGATACATCTCAGATTGTTCTGTTTAATAGATATTAATAAGATCTATCATCAATGAATTTGTGTAGTCCTATTTGGAAGCTGGCTATACTATTTGCCCCTACAGTCTCCTGTGGCCATGAGTTCCAGAAGTTAATTACATGCTGCATAAAGAAGGATAGAGTGAAGCCAACTTCCCAAGATTATAACAGTTAGTAGGGCAGACAAAATGTAGGTTTTATCATTGCAAAAATTACATATGTATGCAGTGAAGCTCCCTTTTTCTTTCACCTGCTAGAGTAGGGTTCTTTGCATTTTTAAAAACATGTAGTCTCAGCAGCAGGGCAGGTTATTTATCAGATCCATTGTGACCCCCCAACATCAGTGTAGGTACAGAGTACACATGCGGTTACTCCCTAAGAAGAGTAAGTATGTGCAACTTAATGAAGTTTGGCTACCCATTTAGATTGCTTAGGCTCCAGGTCAGGACGTTTAACTCTATTACTTCTGAAGGAGATTATTAACTCTGTGACTAGATGCGCATAGTGTATTAGCTACTAGCATGAGTGGTGCACCCTGGGATCTAGGTGGGCTCAGGCTGGGTCTCTCTGGAGACAGAAATTGCATATTTCCTGCTGTTTCACTGCTGGTCATCTTTTCAAAGTTTTATTGTATGCATCTCAAACTCTCACACTTCATGCAAAGCTGCATTTAGTAGTCTCAGGGTGCTGTCTGGTTAATGACCCTTGTTTCACAAGAGATGTCAACCAGGGGTCAGACCATCTGCTGTTTCAGCTTTGGGAGAGAAAATAAGGAAACAGGAAAGGGGATAAGCTGAAGAATCCAGCAGAACTTTTCCTCTCAGCTTTCTGTACCTCTTAGCACATTTTTTATAGACACCTCAGTACTGTTTCCCTGAGAGCAACTCTTTCCTCTAACTTTCCCTTCTCACAAAATGCCATGTTTGGTGAAGAAAAAGAAAACAATGATGCCAAACGTCTTCCGAAAACATAAATTGGCAGCCACTGTGGATTAAAAAAAAAAGTGCAAATGTTTACTGGTATAGTATAACCACTAAAAGATATTAATTCCCTCGTCCTGTGCAGCTCTCAAACTGCCTACTTCAGACTGGCTGAGTTATTTCTCCTTTTTCTCTTTTTGTAAAACTCAGAACACATACTGTGTGCAGCAGAACAAAGCGTTGCAGTTAGTACATACCATTGCCTTGGACCTACTCAGAGGAAAGCAATGCAGGCACGGGGAGAGGAGGAAAAAGGAAAAAAGCAAGGGATAGAAACTACACTTACTTTAAGCAGAACTAACACAATTGCAACAAATTTAGACTTATACAACATTCTGAAACTTTCTTGGAAAAAAAAAATCAGTAAAAATGATTTTATAGCAACACATTTTTCTTAGTAGCAGCAAAGACGCTTCCTTTGTAAAGACAGAACCAGGCTTTGTGAACTTCTACTTCTCCACCACACGATGGCAGTGCCTGCTATGGCTGAGATGCTGCCCTATGGCTTTCCAAGGACAACGCTCCTCGCAGTGTGCGCACATTAAGTGACTATCTCATGCTTGAAGGTGGTTCCGTTGAATATTTTTCCCATGAATAAAAGTGTCTAAGTGCAAGTGAATGGGTTTGTGATGCACTGCAGATACAGAAAGGAAACACAAAAACGGTGCTTGCAAGAATCAGGTTTATCATAAAGAAACAGTTGGTTATATTACAATTAAGGAGCCTGACAGTATGAGGGCAACTACATTTGCACCGCAAGTAAGGCAGATATGTAGTTTGGGGGCTAAACTCTTATTACCTTTTCCTTTTCATAAGTCACAGACATTTTTTCCTATTCTCCCCTTCAATTTTCTCTGCACATCCAGGGACAGCAGTAAGTATGAGCTGCAGTTAGAACTCAACAGATAACATTTTCCTTCCCAACCATATCTGTTAGGAGGGAGATGAGGCAGGAGAATGGGGAAATTAAACTAAAATTAAACCCTATTTTTAATAGGATGTGCTTCATTGGCTGAAGGAATGTCAGTTAGGAAACAGAATCAGAAAAAAACCCCACACCAAGAGGAAGCCAAAAGCTGTATTTTGCCAGAGATTTGAGACAAGCTTAAGTGGCATGCAAATTGGATAGGGGCTGAAAGTTAGAATTAAAATTGCTGTTATTAAATACAGAATTTTATACCAGGTTTCAGCTTCAGGCTTATCCATAGTCTCAACAGTATAAAGAAGCTCTGAAGTCCCTCAAACTGTCAAGTCAAACTGTCAAATGAAATGCAGACAACAGCATCAACCTGAAATCAATTTCCTGGCTTCGCTCTTGTGAGCATTTTGAGGTTACTACAAACTCTACTTTTAAACCTGCAGCTATTTATTTAATCCATATACATGTCCTTTCTGCATATATATTACATATATACACACACAAACAGCATAAGTGGTCAGATTTATAAGTTGGGATGTGCCATTAATAATAATATTATGATTACTATTGCGATCATATAACTGATGCAGTGCAAACAATATTCACCCCTGCTAACAAAGTCAATGCTGTGTTGCCAGAGTGGTAGTGTTCTTAAAAATAGTTGAAGACACTTTTTTTTTTTGCATGCAATTCATATCTGGGCTGGAAAGAAGATGCATCATCTTTAGCAGTGAGGAAAAACTCTCAGCAGAGTTAGCTGGTCAGTCAGAAGTATAATGGTACACACTACTATGGGCGTTTGTCTGCTAAGAAATGTTCAGCCCATCAACACGGTTCTACAAGATGTCTGAGGGAAGTGTTTTTCCACAGCTTTTTAAGATTCATCTCAGCTGAACTATGTGGAGGGATGGAAATACATTCAGATTTCCCACAAAGTCACATTAGTATTTAGTCTGGGCTCTGATAACTTCACATTAGTCACATTAGTATCCGGTCTGATCTCTGACAAGTTTCATTAGCAGAAGTCAGGCTGTGGCAAAAGTCATTGTGAAAAACATCTGAAAAGATCTTAACAAAAAATACAACCATTTCTGGGAAAGGAGTAGGTTCTGGACAGCATCACTTTGCTGTAGAAAAAATAGTCAATTAGAAAAATGAGACAATAGAGGCAAGATTTTTGTAATTAAAATTATAATGGAAAGAATTTTAAAAAGTTCCCCCCGGCCCCCAAACTAGCAAGTGAGCTTTGTTCTGTATTTCTACATTTAACTATTCTCTGTGTATATACCTCCACTTAAAAGATATCTTTCAGTGATTCAATTAATTTACCTTAGCACAGACCCAGTTCAGCTACTCCTGAATACTGATTTACTAAGGCTGAAATGGGACTTATGCATAAATAGGGACTCAGATTAGACACAGATGCTATGCTGGTCTTATTTCTGCCTGTGTTTGCACCACACTCACCAATAGGTAATTATTTTCAACATGTTAGAAAATATATATACAAACGTAGTATCTACAAGTGAAAATGCTGAATTAACTTACCATGATGACAGACACCCCAGCAGTTGTATTGTTTTGTTTGGGCAGAGTGTTGTTAAAGTGCTGCTTCAGTTTACCTGTTACTTCAGCCTGCATATTATTCTCCTGGGAGGCATCATCCTGTGTAAAAGGGAGATATACAAGTTACTCTTTAGGTAGGAATAATCATAAATTGAAACAGAAAGTTCATGGAGCTGGGGAGAGGATTTTCCATCCTCTTGGGACAACTGACCATGTTAACAAGGAGGAATAATTTGTACCCAAGCCCTTGTCAAGTTACCTTATTAACAACTTAAAAACCATCTGAGAAATAGTTTACATTAGTGAGAAAATCAGCT